CAGCAGAATACAATAAGCCATAAGGTTTGACCTGCCAAACCATTCGATATGAATGTCAGACAAAGTTCAACAGCTGATTCAGAGCACCTCCTCTGGAGTATACTTAAGAGTATAAAAATCCAGGATGCTTCAAAACAAAAGGTGGCAAGAAGATAAACCACCCATAAGAAATCAATAGGAGATGCTTAGGAAACCAAAAACTTCTACAGTTTGGAGCAAGATTCATGGCCAAAGTATGATTGAGAGGAGTGGGAGAAGCGTAAGGAATGAGAAGCATACCATATTTGTTGACAATATGATTGACAAAGGAAGAAGCACGAGGGAGGATATCGTGGGAAAGATCCATGGGTTTGGATTTGGCTTGCATATGCATATTAAACATTTCAGTTGAATCCCCAGTGAGAAGCCTATATGGATTGCCTTGAAGGCCTTGTTGTCTAAGCAGCCTCTCCAGCTTCTTCGGCCTCAACCACAGCCAGCTCACCACCTTCCATGCCCATAACAGAACTAAAATTGCCACCGGAACGCAAGTTGTGATGATGGCCTTTGAAGCTTCCATTTTTAATGGTGAAGGAAGAGCAGAGAAGATTTCGTCGGACTTGGTGGGATTGAAATGACGATGTTGAGAAGGTGCGAGGATAGAGATGCAGGGATATAGTGAGGCCAAGTTCCTTCTTTTTTGTGACGAAGGTACTGTGCTTCATGCTTTTAAAATTTTGAATCTTCCATCGCCGTACTCTTTCCGATGCGTCCTTTTCTGGGCAGCACGGTAAACAGTAGTAGTATTTGGTTGGGTAAAGGCGTTCGTTAAGCCAAGCGTTTCCCTTCGGCCCTTTCTTTACCATTAGGCTTCCAAACAAAGAATTGGGATTCTGCAGATACCGCTGTCATTACTCTAATTATTGCAGCTTTGGGAGATGAGCTTTGATTCTTTATTTCCTGATCTCTTGCTCTGTCTTCCATTGGATGCTGACATTGTCGAATAATTTAAGTACGAGAGAATAATAATAAAACTGAACTGAAACATTTTCTTTTTTTTTTTTTAATTTTCACCATGGCCGGCTATAAACTTTCACCTGCTCTCCTCTGTCATGGATCCGGTTGCATTCAATGTCACTTTGGTTGTTCAGTCCCCAAGAAGAGAAGTCAACTTGGTTGGCGGGAATCATCAAGTCGGAAGGGAAGTAGGATTTCATGAAGGTGTGTGATTGTTTGGTTGATTATGAGCATGCTTGGATCTCAGTTTGCAACACCAAAAGCCCATTGGAAAGAGTGAAACTGAAGTTACAAACTGAGTTAGACAAAAATTATTATTTGGCTGGGTTAACTTTTCTAACCAACTTCTGGTTTTCAATCTCAGTTGGACTCACCAGAGAAAAATTTGATTTTTCAAACTGTAATATCAAACGGTGATTATTAAAAATGAGCATGCCAGATTTACCTTCACATTTTCCCCTCTGCCTCATCTCCTTCATTAGTATAATGAGCTTTTATTCAGACCAAATAAATTTTAATTTATATTCATGTTTGTCCATTATGTATATTTAATTAATTATCTACGACGTATTTTTAAATTTTTCTTTGTAACAAATATTTTTATTTTATAATTTTACAAATAAATTATTTATATCTTATCATAATAATTTTAAGTATTTTTTAAACTATTATCACATTAAAAACATATAATTTCAAACATCACTATTCAATAAAATCCATGTCATTTTCGGTCATTTTACAATTAAACTAACTTTTCTAGTAATCATCTAAAAAATTTTTAACTTTTTCAACTGACTTTTTAAAAACATCTATCCAAACATATTCTAACTTACTTTTATTTTAACTTTAACTATAAAAATCAGTTGAGTTAAAAATCAGTTTTAGCCAATATCAATTCAAACATACCCATTAGCTGTGGCCATTTGGCTGCAGAGGGAGCGGTGATTCCATTTCCCAACATCAGGCGGAACGTGGATTCCAACTCAATGTCAGGGGGAGTGCGTAAGATTGATTTCTTGAATAACTGAGTAAACACGACAAGATCGATGTGTCTGCCACTCGGTTATTATAATGCCATAAGAACATTTGAAAAAGGAGATGCTGTTACGTGGGTATTATAAATTATGTCGGTGGGAGAGGGTAAGATTAATTTATAATGCATTAGAAGATGCAGTTGCGCGGGCATTATAAATTATGTCATGAAAAGTAATCTCGTTTGGGGTAGATCTTTTTTTTTTTTTTGGCCTTGAAAGTTTGGGTAGATCTTTGATTTTCTTTTCAAATCTACTATATAATAACTAGTTGACTAATTTAAATAGATTAAGAAAACAAATTAAGTTAGTTATTTATAATAAATAGGTATTGTCTTTTCTAAAATATCCTTATTAATCAAGTTTGTTGGTTAAAACTATTATTATTAGAAATACTATCTTAAAAAAATGAATAAATATGAGAGATAAAATGGATTGGAGTCTTATATTTAGGACCAAAACAAAAATCAAATGAAGTCTTATATTAAGGATTGGAGGTAATATTTATTAGTCGATAAATTATTAGAATAAACTATATATATTGCTAGATGCAATTATACTACTACCGAAAACAACCCAATTCTAAATATTATTAAACCCTAAATGTGAATAGCAGGATTCGAATCTTATGTTGGTTAAACTATACTATCTCTAATCTTAAATATAAGAGCTAGTTAACTAATTTGAGCAGATTAAGAAAATAAGTTAAATTAGTTATTTATAATAAATAAGTATTGTCTTTCCTAAAATATCTTTACTAATCAAGTATATTGGTTAAAATTATCATTATTAGAAGGATTATCTTGAGAAAAAATAAATAAATATGAGAGGCAAAATTGATTGGAGTCTTATTATAACCAAAATAAAAGTCAAATAAGATCTTATATTAAGAATTAAAAGTAGTATTACCTCCAATCCTATTTATATGAGCTCGTTTGTAAACTATAAATAATATCTTATAAATAAAACTGAAAATAGTATGTGTGTGGGGGGATGTATTTGCTTTTTCTGAAAATTACAAGTGTTAGCCCAATTCAAGATTGATAGGGTTAAAGTGATCAATTTCTTACTCTGTGCTTTAGCCCTACTTAGGCCCAAATTTTCGGGCCACAATACTCCCAAACGCATTTGAGGCTTCCCAATATTCGGCCGAAGAGATTTACCTTTGATAATTCTGCAATCTCACGGAATGAGTGAAATTGCGATTTGTTTTTCCCCTCCCCCCCCCCCAAAAACCTTTTTCCACGGACTTCCTTCTTTTAATTGTGATTAAAGCTTAATTTTAATACTACCTTCGGTTTTTAATATAAAATCTTGTTTAACTTTTATTTTGATCCTAAATATAAAACTTCAATTTACTTTGTTTCTCATATTTATGTATTTTTTTTTCAAAGTAATCTTTTTAACAATAATAGTTCTAGTAATACATTTAATTAGCAAAGATATTTTAAGAAAGATAACACCTATTTATTACAAATAACTAACTTAATTTCTTTTCTTAATCTTCTCAAATTAATCAATTAGCTCTTATAATTAGGACCGGAGGTAAGATAATTCTCTAAACAAAAACACAAGCATTATAAGAATAAAATAATATAAAAACATCTTCAAACTTGACGGAAAATTTGACCCTTCTATTAATAATTTGTTGGGGGTGGACTGATGGCCATGCTATCAAAGTCAAATAATATATTTTTTATCTCTTAAGTTTGTCCTCGTTTTAAATCATAAATTTTAGTCCCTCAATTTTCTTTGTGTATAAAACATTTGTTTTTATAATTTAATAAAAATTCGGATCATTTTATTCTTTTAGGAACCAAAATTCATGTTTTGAAATTTGAAAAATTAAAATCAAAATTTGTATAAATTTGGAGGAACAAAAATTATATTAACTCTATATATAAAATATAGTTTTTTTTTTACAATAAACTACTCAAGTCATGAATATTTATGAATTGTAGTGCGCAATGGAACAGAGCAGAGAAAGAGAAAGTGCAAAATTGAGGTTGCCTGAGTGAGGATTGCAGTCATATTATATTATATGGACTAAACATGAGATTGCGGAAAGTAATCAAAATGAACGCAAAAATAGATACATGGCCAACCCACGTCTGTCTATGTATTGGCACTTTGCTCATTACATTTATAACTTGTTCGTATTTATTGTTCTAAACTTCTGGCCTCATATAATAATGAAAAAGTTTTGCCAGTTTTTCGGTTGACACCATAACTTTATGATTCTTATCTAAGATGCCACTTCTGGCCAAAATCTCTCGATTCAAGCATCCAAAAAGCTTCATTCATTTTCAACTTCGGGATACATCGTACAGTAACAACTGGTGAAAAGAAGAAAGTTTAAATTTCAGACGACGTTCTTTTATTTTTCAAAATATTGTACTATATATATATTATTAAATTGTGATTGATACATTCTTATTCTACTACCTTCTGTGCTAAATATAAAAGTTAATTAGAGATTCAATTTGATCCTAAATATAAAATCTTAATCCACTTTGTCTCTCATATTTATTTATTTTTTTTCAAAATAGTCCCCATAGTAATTGCCTATCTCAAAATCTTTCCATTTTAATGTACATTATTGACAAGAGTATTTTACAAAAGACAACACTTATTTATTACAAATAATTAACTTTACTAATTTTCTTAATATTCGCAGATTAATTATCTAACTCTTAGCTCTTCTAGTAGGCATTTAGGGAGGAGGTATATTATTTCATCTAATATCTTTGCTTCATAGTACGCTCATATATACAAACAGCGTCTCAATATTTTTTTCTTGGGCCTACTAATTTTCTCTCGTATCACAGTACCCCACTTTGTCTATATATATAGATACACACACAGATAGACAAATACATTGAAGCACGCAAGGCAAATCAAATGGAGATCAGAGTGAGTAGAGTGAGAGTAGTAAGAGAAATGTTGGGGGCATCAAGCATAGTGATGTCGGTAATGGTAGTGATAATGGTAGTGAGATGGGTGTGGAAGATGGTGAAGTGGCTGTGGCTAAACCCTAAGAGGTTAGAGAAGCTGCTCAGAGATCAAGGCCTCCAAGCCAATCCTTACAGATTCTGGGTTGGCGACTTAGCCAAAATGGTTAACATGCAAGAACAAGCCAAATCCATGCCCCTACATCCTCATCCTCATGATCTTGTTCCTCGTATCTCTCCCTTTGTTCACCACACAGTCACCAAATATGGTCTGCCCTCTGTCTCCCTCTCTGTGTTGTAACTAATATATATATATGTAGAAAAGTCCTGATAATTAAAAATTTTACTTATTACTGATATAGAACGTCTCTGTGCAGGGAAGAATTCATTTATGTGGTATGGACCGACACCAAGTTTGATCCTTACGAATCCAGAGCAAATAAAGGAGGTGTTCAACAAGTACCATGAATTCACAAGAGGTCACATGAATCCTCTTATGTATTATTTATCCCCTGGACTAGTAACATACGAGGGTGACCAGTGGGCCAAACTCCGAAGAAAGATGATCAATCCAGCCTTCAGTCTGGATAAACTCAAGGTTTTCTTGACTATTTTCTCCATTTGAAATTATTTCATAGAATTATTATATCCATATAATGTTTCGAGGGATATAACATTATATTCTTCCTTTATTGGCCACAGGCTTTGATTCCAACATTTGCCCAGAGCTACAACGGCATGATAAGAGAATGGGAAAAGATGGTGTCTTTATCAGATGATGGAACAAGTGAAGAAGTGGATGTATGGCCTTGGTTTTCAAACATGTCACGTGATGTGATTTCGAAAGCGGCAGTTGGAAGTAGCTACGAAGAAGGCAGACAAATATTCGATCTTATAACAGAACAAACTCAACTTGTCTCGTATCACCAACACAGATATTACCTTCCGTTTTGGAGGTAATTAACATTAATTCATTCTTGGAATCTAAACTTGGCCATTAATTAATGTGATAAAACTCTTAATGACGCAGCTCAGTAAAATTAATAACTGCTTGTTAAGTGACTTTGCAGGTTCGTACACGCCAAGGACAAAAGAAGGATGGAGGGAATTGATAGAACTGTGAATGAATCACTGAAGGGTATTATCCAGAAGAAGGAGAAAGCCCTCAAAGCTGGTGAAGCCACAAAGAATGACATATTGGGAAGACTCATAGAATCCAATCTCAAAGGCACTACTGAATTGAGTATGATGGATTTGATCGAGGAATGCAAGTTGTTCTACTTTGCAGGCCAAGAAACAACTTCCACTTTCCTTGTTTGGACTATAATGCTGTTGAGTAGACACCTTGATTGGCAAACACGTGCAAGGGACGAAGTTCTGCAAGTTTTTGGCAAACAAACACCAGATTTTGATGGGCTAAGTCGCCTCACGATTGTTAAGTATCATATCTCTAGTTTGTTTAACTGTTGTTTAAACTGATTTTGCTACAAATAAACTGATTTTTTTGGTTACAGGTGAACATGATCTTATACGAGGTTTTGAGGTTATATCCACCAGCAACATATACAGACAAATTAGCTGAGAAAGACATGAAACTTGGGAACTTATATGTACCTGCTGGAGTTCAAATTTACATACCACTACTGATGCTTAATCATGACCAAGAGACGTGGGGGAGTGATGCCAAGGAATTTAAACCAGAGAGGTTTCGTGAAGGAATCTCGAAGGCAGGGAAAGGGAATTCCGTTGCATTTTTCCCGTTTGGATGGGGCCCTCGAATTTGCATTGGACAAAACTTTGCCTTGTTTGAAGTTAAGACGGCTCTCTCTTTGATTCTGCAGCGCTTTTGGTTTGAGCTTTCTCCCTCATATTCTCATGCTCCTTCCCTTGCCATGGCTATGAGGCCAAAGCATGGGATTCATGTCATTCTACACAAACTCGAATCATAAATTTTTAATTTCGTGTGAGTCAATATATTAAATAAAGAGAGGAGGGGGAAGCCCATAATGAGTGCTTTTTTCTTTTTCAGTTTACCACAAATAATAGATATGTAAGAAATTTTGAAGTATTAATACATGTTTTAAAGTAAGAAATTTTTGCATATGCACTAAAAATAATTAATAAATTTGTATTTTAAAGTGTTAGCTCTTTCATTACATATGCATTCCCAGACGGCCACAATAATCTTGAATATAAAGATTGAATAATTATCTCACCAGAATTAAAAAAAAGTGGTTATATTTTTAAATTTGTCATATCTTGAAATTTTTTCCCGCAAATGCCCTTCAATCTAATGATTTTCAGTTGCTATATTTCTAATTGAATGAAGAATATATATATAAAATCATAAAATTAGAATATTTATATTTCTCGACCTTTTAGATCCAAACTGCAAAATCCCCAAAAAGTATGATTGCCATTAAAGAGGAAAGGAATCATATAGTTGGCGCTGTTGCAAGATATTCAGCCCAATTGAAGATTTATAAGGAAACTATTCTTATTTTATCAAACTCATCATCAGTTTGGTCAGCTCCACTTAAATCCAAGCCCTTTCTCATATATTATATTAGACTCCTATAGAGTTTAACTAGACTTCGGAGTTAATATAAATATAATCCCACTTCGCAATAATTTATATTTGAATAAGATAATCTTATGAACAAAGTACAAGCATTACACATGTAGAGGTTATTATGGAAACATCATCTTCAAATTTGATGCTAATTTGTACACTTTCTTTGTGAAGAATTTTGGTGGATGGTGGCAACGTATAATCTGAGTTCATCAAAAAGTCATAGTGCACACACACACACACATATGGAATCATAATATATCTTTGGTTTTGTAACATATAGAATTTTATTTTTACAAATATAAACTGCTCGAAATAAGAATGGCTGGGCTTGGATTGAGTCATAGAACAGAACAAGTTGTCATGGTCACAGAAGAATTGGGCCAGGATAGGGAGCCCAATGAGGAGCCCAGGAAGGAAGAACCAATGCTAAGAGGAAGAGGCAGCAAAAAGGTGTTGAGATGCCATATAAAAAGACAAGATGTCATCAGGGGAGGGTGTGAAATGAATTATGTGTAGTCTTCCCGCCTCCTTGAGTCTCTCTTCTCCCTGGCCAGCTGCACTATCTCAGTGACTGGATCTTCTATTCTCTCCTGCTACTCTCAATCTATATTTCTTAATCTCCATTGAATCAGAGTTATGTTATTTTCCTTTAATATTGTTAACTCTGTCAAATGTATTGAGCTTAGAATTTCTATTATAAACGGTTCATTATTATTGATTTGAGTTATATTATCTGGGGATCATTTGTGTGATTGTTACAATTGGTGCTTTCGTTGAGAGATTTATTCACCCTAATGGCGGATAGTACGATTATGAGTGAGTTGCAAGCTGATATGAAGAAGGTAAATGATTTCATCGATGAGGCTGGGGGTCGCTTTAAGCGAATAGATGATCGTTTCGACCGAATGGAACATCTGCTGCAAAGGCTCAGCAATTCAATCGGTGCCTTGAATCAAAGAACTGAACAGTCACAATCTACTTTGAAGGATAGATCTCCTTCGATCGATGGCTTTAAAGCAAATAAGATTACAACATCATTACTTCTTAATCGGTTTACAGAGATTGAGACTACTGTTGACGTGATGAAGGATTATTCCCGGATTGACCAAATGGAGGCCACAATGGCTAGGATCATGAGCAGTACGGGATTAGTCTATGAGTCTCCACCTTCGCAGAGACCAAACTCAGTTCAATCGCTGCCAGCGCATGAATCCTTTTCTCAATCAGATATCAAATGTCCACAAGAACAGAGAGATGGGATAGACAGTCACATTTTTGTGAACTCTGACTTCCTATCATTGCGCAAACCGGATGCTGAAGAGATGGCTATCAACGGTCGTACAATTACTAACTCTATCAACTGTGACGTTGGGAACTTCAATGTAACCCAAATTCAGCCTCTGCAATTCCCCTTTAGCTACCCTAGGCGCTGCATCACCATTCTTAGTGAGAGACAGAAGCTAGCTGACAGCCACGAGAATAGTGAAATTCTGCGGCCTCATTCTTGCCTCGTTCCTCTGACAGTGGTAGCCTTGTTACCGATGACTAATCAGATTGAGGGCACGATTCATGGATTGATTGTTCAATGGGTATTTGATCCTGGCTCAATAATAGAAATTCCTTACGGATTACACAGATTTGCTGAGAATGAGCAGCCGACATGTTACAAGTTTGATCGCTTTGCATATACCCAATCTAAATCTGTTCTACAGACTTATGTAACTTGTTTTACATATCTCTTACATGCGGTAGATATGAGGACAGTGGGTAATGTTCTGGAAATTTCAATGCCTCCTCTTTCTGCTATCTCTTATTTGATTTGGACTCTTAATGGATTCAACGAACTCTTATTTGAGAATGACCATTTATGGATTAAAATACACTGTCGGCATTGGGCTACAAGATTGGATTCCATTTATGTTTTTGATGCTGCCATTTATAAATTCCCTTTGTTGCCTGCCTCAATTCGGGATACACAAATGGTAATATTGATAGCTTGGAGTTTCCATGATGCTCTGATGGGAATAAAGGTGCTTGTGTGTGATGAGAATTATATTATATTATCATTTCAAATACACCTGAAAAATATTGATGCTATTGAAGTGAGTCATGAGTTTCTAGTAAAGGTTTTAGCCGAAATAGTGAAGTCACAAGAGGGTCGATGGATTAATATTCTAATGGTGTATCATGGACGTATATTAATCTTAGTTTGGCATATGACAGTACACGAGCTTCCTCCCTTTATGGTAAATGTCCTTCAATTCCTTGATTTAGTGATCATTGGACATTATCATTTGTCATATAATTATTTGAGCTATATTCCTGATGCCTACATCTTTGTTCCATTCCTTTCAATGTGCTACCCTTATTATATATCGAGAGTTTCAATGCCATTGGTTAGTGATTTTGCATCGGCCTTGGTTAGTGTTCATGTTAGAGATTTGTATCTTAAATGGGGGCCTAGAATATTTGATGATGTGACCGGACTGAATGGCAAATTTTGGGCTGAAGTTGTTGCAAATTCTGGAAGTGGCACCTTGAAATCTGTAAACCAAGAATATTTTCTCAAAGTTTATCAAGGTTCAGACCAAATTTTGAAGACGGGTAATGGCTGCATGGCCAAGCTATACAAAGAGGTAATTGTTGAAGCATGATTCAAAAAGCTCACGTGATGCTAGGAGTCATATTCTTCTCACGTATTTGGTGCCAGTATTTTTCGCAAGTCAGTTTGTTAGTGCAAAGTAGTGGGTTATTTTTATTAAATATTTATTATTAGTTGAAGCAAATATCTTGGGCTGTTCCAGATCTCTTTTTACCAAGTCAAATAAGTTGTTTAGAGTCAGTTGTAGTGGTAGTAGTGGAGTCCGAAATTCCTGTTGAGTTATCGTGTCTGTAAGCCTATAAATATAGGCACTTTTATTTATTCCAAGCATTGAGTATTATCCACCGAATATATTTTAGAGTGGGGCCTTCTTTTCTTTACTTTATCACTCTCCTTCACGTGACTTCCCCAACAAATTTGGCATCAGAGCCTTCTTTGATCCTGTGGCTACTCGAGTGAACGTAAGGTTTGGGTTAGAGTGAAACACCTTTTCGGGTTCTTGGGAAACACGAGAGCAGGAGAGAGAGAGATAGAGAGAGAGTGTGTGTGTATTGCATTATTTTGACTGCAGATTGAACAGGAATGGCGAGTTTAACTGGCTTTTCTTCTTCTCAACCGCTTTTACCCATTTTTAATGGAGAGAAATATGAGTGGTGGAGCATCAAGGTCAAAACGTTGCTCAAATCGCAGGACTTGTGGGATCTGGTGGAATATGGGTTCATTGACATATTAGAACCCACTGAAGCTGAAGAGGAGAGGCTGAAAGCAACTAAGCAGAGAGATGCCAAGGCATTGTTCATACTTCAACAAGCAGTCCATGAGACTATTTTCTCATGGATTGCAGCAGCCGCCACATCTAAGGAAGCATGGTCCATTCTACAGAAGGAGTTCCAAGGTGATTCAAAGGTCATTGCTGTGAAACTGCAATCATTGAGACGTGACTTTGAAACCTTATTAATGAAGAACGGAGAATCGATTGCTGAGTTTTTGTCAAGAGCAATGGCAATAGTTGCTCAAATGCGATCTTATGGTGAACAGATTTTGGATGAGACGATTGTTGCCAAAGTTCTGAGGAGCTTGACTGCAAAGTTTGATCATGTTGTAGCTGCCATAGAAGAAGCCAAGGATCTGTCGGTTCTTTCCGTAGATGAACTGATGGGTTCTCTTCAAGCTCATGAGGCAAGAATCAACCGATCGGTGGACAAGAACGAAGAGAAAGCATTCCAAGTGAAAGAGACAGCCATTGAACATAAAGAAAATGACCGTCTAGCAAGTAGAGGTCGTGGCAGAGGAGGATTCCGTGGTGGCCAAAATCGTGGTCGTGGTAATGGTAGGGGCAGAGGAAGGCAATCCTATGAGCAAGGTAACACAAAAAGCAGCATTCAGTGTTATCATTGCAATAGACATGGGCATATACAAGCTGATTGTTGGTTTAAAGATCAGAATATGAACTTTGCAGCAGAGGATGAGGAGGACAACAAGCTTTTTATGGCTTGTGTTGATACTAGTCATAAACCAAGTGATTTGTGGTTTGTTGACAGCGGCTGTTCAAACCACATGACGGGCACCAAATCTGTGTTTAAGGAGCTTGATGAGTCACAAAGGCAAAAGGTGCAGCTTGGCAATAAAAGGGAGATGCAAGTTGAAGGAAAAGGCACTGTGGGTGTCGACACTAGCCATGGCAAAGTAAAAATGTTAGACAATGTTCAATTTGTACCTGATTTAGAATACAATTTGCTGAGCGTTGGACAACTAATGGCTGATGGATGTTC